TTTAAACATACGCAAAACTAATATTCGAATTAGCTGTTTACTAATGTGACAAAACTTACAAATGAATAAATTTGGAATCTCTTGATAAATTTAAAATACTGAATAAAGTCTACTAAAGTTTACAAAAGTTTCGCTGTTTTAGCTTTTATTATATTAAAAAAAGCAACGAAAAAATTGAAAGGAAGATATTAAGAGATAGAGTAATTCACTTGATGCACCAGGCGAGTCGCATGTGAAATTGTATGTATGTTTGTATACATGCTTACTTTACAGATTTATATCACATTATCGACTGAATAAAGACGCATTGGGTGTTAAATTACGTTTTGTGAATCCTCTTAAAATATCCATATTTTTTTCATAAACTCAATAATTATGACATTTTGTGTTTTTTCTGATATTTTCCCTTAAATCGTAACAATAAACAAAATTATTTTCTTAACTTACATTTCAAATCTGTCAGCGACTATCCTCTTGCTTTGTTTCTGATAACAAAACTGATATAATTGGTTTCCGTGACACCCAAAACCGATATAATTTCTGTTTCAAACGTCAAACCGATAATATCTGAATTCATGACACCTACTACATTTTTTTTTCGGTTTCAATTCTGATTCCGACAACTATCAGATTCTGCAACACCCCGGAATATTTCATTGCATATATTTTGTCGCTGAGCAATTGTAATTATTAAAACTTTGTAAGTAAAAAAAAAAATTTAAGTTTTCTATGAAAAAATTATTTAAGAAGTTTGATAATTTCTTCACGCAGTTGAACCTACATTTACTAAATTATAGAAAATGAGTTTAAAAAATATATAAAAATAACTTTTATAAAATTTTATTTTACCGAGTAAAATTTGAATTTTACACGCGATGAGAAGAAAGTTTTCTTATATAAATAATATCGAAAACAAGTTATTTTCAATATAAAATGTAAGAACCTCCGATAAAAATTTTAATGAATTTTATTTTATGTACTTCCAATAGAATTCTTTTAGATAGTACAAAAATTCTAAATACAAAATTTGAAAAGTAAATATTCAATGAATTGGTGTGATTACAGTAACAATAATTGTCAACTCAAACAGCGAAAAGAGGTTTTAAAATAAAAACTATAAACAAAATTATTATGTGTCGTAATTGGCAGGTCAAAATTAGCGGGTAGTTTAATTTGGCATTGAAATATTTTCGCATACAAAATTTGACTCTAAAAATTCATCAAAGCTAACAATTTGTTAATATTTGGCTCGAATTTGGAAATAAAATCTGTAAATGGCTTTGTTGCTTCTGCTTACTTCTCTTCAGCCAGCTATAATTTAAATTATAATAAACAAATAAATGCTAATAATTTTGCTATAAATTAATTATGGCAACTGAAAATATGAAAATGTGAACAGTCTATATTAAAAGCTGAATAATAATAGAATGAACAACAATGTGATTTTGCTTATGTGAAATAATTATAAATAAGTATAATAGTAATTACAACAAATACAGCAAGTGAATGAAGAAGTGTTACAATTAAGAACGCTACCACAAACGCAGCATGGCGAAAGCGACGAATTTGTGTTGATGATGTATACGAATTATTTTGAGATATTTATGCAAACACACAACTAGTTAGCACTAGTCAATGCTGGACTATAATATATATAAATTTGTGTGGGAAGCTTTCTAAGTAAATACAAGGCAAAAATAAAACGTTTTATAAGTTATTACTAAACTGATGCTCTTTGAGTCCGATTCGTTCGAAGTCGATTGTTGCCGAAAACTGTATGTAGCTTGAAAAATTAGTACTTAGTAAAAATGCGAATAAAGCTCACTCATATTTTTAATCACAATAATTTTTCTAATTTTAATTTCGTTTCAAGAATTCAAGAAGGGTTTTTTGCGTAACTATTTACTATTTGAAAAGCTCAAAAGGTTAACAAATAATATAAATCTTAAACCAATTCAAATATGTAATTAGTTGTATTATTATTATTATTTTAATTATCTATTTCTTTAATTTTATTTTTTTTTTAATAGCATTATCAATTATAATAATTAATTCGATTTTATATTATTATTTTAAGTTAAATGAACATATTTTCCTAAACTTTATTCAAGTTATACGTTTGAAAAATGCAATTCCAAATTTAATTATGGTATTATAATGTTATTTTTTAACATTAAATTTTTTGTATATGTGTTTTTTTAATATTGTTTTTAATATTTTTTTCAATGTTTTTTTTTTTAGAAAGAAAAGAGCAGAAGAATAGTTAATTTCCACTTCGAACCTTTTCACTTTTTATTTACTTATATCGGAAATTTATTTTTGATTCCGTACTGTACTCTACAAGTATTTCATAATTCGTTGCATATTTTTGGGAGCAGATTTTGCATACTTTTAAGAGCTTAATTTAATTAATTGATTAATCAAAAATTTTGATCTCTTTTATTCAAAAATTAATATTACGTATATTTGAGTTTGGTAGATAAAAAATAAAAGTATATTTTGATATTTTTTTATATCAAGTAAAAAAAATTTCTTAACATTTATAGATTTATTTTTCGCTTTAATACTCATTTAAAGTTAAAAATGTATTTTGTGCTGGAAAAACTAGAAAAAATAATAATGAAAACGATATACATGCCTGTCTGCAAATGTGGCTATCAATTAGAAAAAAGAAAACTGTCGGAGAAACTCACCGATATTTGCTGCTTTAAATATAGAATTTTCAAATTTCAAAACAAATAGAATTTCAATTAAAAAGAATAACTAAATAACATAACAATTAGTTAGTGATTTGATAGTTAACAAATAGTTACAAAAGCAAAAAACCAACAAAATAAACAAATAAATAAAGAAGCACAATGAAAAAAAGTAAATAAAGTGAAAATGCAAAAATACATGAAACAATCGTAGAACAATAAAACAATAACACAGAAAGGCTTGAAGATTATGGAAATGGAAGGTTATAGCTGATACTTGATAAATCTAGGTCAGAGCTACGCAAATCTGTCTTGTATTCTACAACACCCCTGATTAATATTATATATGTTTCGAGTCATATTTCACAGATTCAAAACTCTTCTAGCGATAAATTTAAATACAATTAATTTCAGAGCAATAATACAAAAAGGTAATATAGTAGGTATAACTGTATAAAGTACATTGTAGTCGATTCAAACAATTATGTTAAATAATATATTTTATATGTTGGTCGTGATGAGCCATGACTTAACAACTTAAAAATAGATCAGAGCCGAAAAAGTGCCAAGTAAACAAAATGCCTAAAAGTAGGCAATGAAATGTTGCCATCAAAATGAAGTATTTTCTGCACATTGAGTATTTAAAGTAGTGCAATTTTAAGAATTAAAAAAGAGTGTGCTAAGGGACTGCAATATATTTCAATTTAGAACTGGCCTATGTCAGTACTACCTTCATATTCACATGTATATGTATTTATATAGCAATATGTCAAAGTAACTTAACTCTTAAATTAGTATTAAGTTATCGTAAGGTAGCTTAAATATTTATGTGCCATAACGTTTCGTTAGTTAAAATAACGTTACGAAGTTAACATAATATTTATTAACGTATGCTTCGAATAAGCTACTTTGACAAAGTGCCACAGTCGCAAATCACACTGCTTTAAAAATCGCAAAATTTCGCACATATTTTTCACATTTCCCTATACCGTTAGCATTTTCCAAGTAGTAATGCGTTTTTTAAATAATACAAATTATGTTTATGTTTTAATGATCATGAAAAATCACTACAATGCAAGTGTTATAACTGCATTACTAAAATGTGTGTAGAAAGAAAACTTTGTTATATAACCTAACTTAGTACATATTAATGTAAACGGCTGTAAGGATGCACTGGTAAAAGTCTAAATTTAATACTATGTCAGTGAATGTGGAATACCAACTTCACATTTTTTTTTGCCTAAATGAAAATTTAGCGTAAATTAATTATAAATAATAGTAGATTTGTGTAAATTCATTTACATATTTCTTGTTGTCACATTTTTTGTTTTTGTCTTGTAATGTGTATGAGCTTAAAAACAAAATTCGAATACAAAATGTAATTATACTGGCGGCTTAAAACAAAACAAAACATATTACTTCATAAGTTTTTAAATAAATACAAACACATTTTGATTAACCTAAACATCATGTTACAAATATGCAAATGCCTTGAAAACGAAATTGAAAAAATGCTAAAAAAAAAATGTTATAAAATATGTGATATTTAGCAATTAAAAAAAAAAGCTTTGGATAAGTTATTTGTTTTAAGTGCAAAATAATGGAAAAGAAATATATTTCATTGCTTCTTGATTAATTGCTTATTTTTTAACTGGAAGTTAGTGTTGCTGAAAATTAGCATAGAACTATTTTCAAAGTTTCATCAAATATTCTTTCTATATGTGTGTATATATATATATAATTTCACTGTTTTTTGACACCTAAACTTATTCGCTAATTGTGCGAATAACACAATTTATGTTAGTATGTACGCGTTACATAACTTTTAATTTCAATTCATATCTTTCAATGATTTCTCCTATTACCAGCTCTGTTTGTTCAATACTTTGTTATTTGAGAACATTTGTTACATTTTTAATAAATAGTTTGATTGGAGAAAGTATACCTAAACATTTCTTTATACTAAATGCTCTACGCCATTTTGTTATTCAACCGTAATTAATTATTATTTTTTTCTTTACTTAAGTGTGTGTTGTGACTACGGACACCTGACAGTATGGACATTCCGTCACAGAGCAGGCGCATGAATCACATAGTATAAAATGATTACATGGTTCTAGGGTGACCGTGCGATTGTTCTCCTCACATTTCATGCATTTCTTTGCATTCTCCAAGTATAAAACCTTTTCTACCTCTTCTAAATCTGTGCGCAATTTCGACTGTAAGTGAGATGTGAATATAAAACAAAATGTATATATAGTGTTAAATCGTTTGAAAAGTTATTTGTAATAGCAGTAAATCATACCTGCAGTTGTTTCAGCTTTTGTATCGATAAATTGCGTAGTTCGGTAGACAAATGCAGCTGCGTTTGCGCCAAATCATAACGCTCCTTCCACTCAATGGCCTCCTGCTTGGCTTTGTCACGTTGCAATTCCGTTAAATTTAACTGTAAAGTGGCATAAAAATAGTTGCAATTTAGTAAATGTAAAAACATGATGATATATAAATTATATACGCTACATGAAAATTGTATATTATTAATGATATAAAAAAATGTATAGGAGTAACAAATAAACAAAAAAAAAAAAAAAAAAAATATTTTTCAAATTAAATGCTTAAATAAAAAAGTATAAACAAGGAAACATTTACATATTTCTAACTGAAACACTACTTATTACATTTTTTTTTCAAACCGCTATTTGCACTTAAAAATTATGTTTAATTAAGATTTTCGGGATTACATAAAAAAATAAAAATTAATTAAATAATTTTTTAATGCAATATTTGCAAACTGCCTAGAAATATGCAGTAACTATTGCTTCTCTAATACTCTTTAATTTTTTTTTTTTAATTAGAAAAAAAAATTACCTTTCTAGCGGTCTCGTCAATTCGATTCGTTAGTTTTACAATTTGGGAATTTTTTGTCATTAATTCAGTAGATAAACGATTAACATCAGAGTTATTTTGATTTTGTAGTGATTGCAGTGAGAATGCATTTTTAGTAGTTGGCATAGTGTTATCAAACAACATATTTCCAACGGAACTGCTGTTGATGTCATCACGTATTGAGTTTAATTCGGAAATTCTGCAATGTAAAAAGTATTATTAAATATAAGTATGTGATCTATCAGAGTCAAGTATTTAATATTCGCTAATTACCTAACGGAGGGACTTATTGATAAACCATCAGCAAAACCTGGAGATATAATGCGCGACGGGAAAAACAAGCTGCTACTGTCATTTTGCGTGGCCGCTGAGAGTGAATTACTTAGTTTATTTGTATTTGAACCGCTATAGTTAAATGCATCTGATACGCTGAATAGGTTGCTATGACTGGTTGGGCTGTATGTTAGCGAGTTGCTTGGAATGTTGACGGAAAATCCGGCAGAATTGTAATCTATATTTGTAATTAAAAATGTTTTTTTATTTTCGTTTTTAGTTTTGCATCGTATTCTCTTTGATATTTTGTGAAAAACTTACACTCCCCGTTCATTGAGTTGTTTAGCGTAGAATTAGGAATGTTAATTGGCGCCGAGGAACGTGATAATAAGCTAGAATTGGCCAAACTGGCAGAAAGCGCATTCTCACGCAATTCATCCATAGGGCAAGCTAGAATAGTAACGACCAAAGAATGTAAATATAATGAGGAAAAAATAATCAACAGGTGTCTATACTTACGTTCCACATGTGCAAAAGCACAAAAGACGCTACGTGGGCAGTAGCCAGCTTGTTGTACATCATTACATTTAGTTGACTTGTAAATTTCCGGATGAAATTGTTGTTCGGTACGTGTGTGACAATATTGGCAATTGTCGCCAGCCTCACAATTACCAGGCTCGCCCCACTCCTCGCCATGCTTAACATTGGGGCATGGTGTGGATCTGCAACATGAAAAAGAGAGCACTAGTAAATGCTTCTTTTTATATTCACTATCATTTCAACTACACTTACCTATACTTAAATTTGCGTGGACTTCGCCGTTTATCCTTACTATTGTGATACTGTGGACAAGCGTAACCTTGACGGCAAAGTCGCGGTGGACGTTTACATGGTTCCGTCTTATAATTCGTCAAAACATAATTAGTATCCTGCCATTTGGGATCCTCATTCATAAGATTGCGTTCTTTATCTAGTGCATTTTGTGCATTTGTACCGTCGAGTGCCAGCTCTGCATTCTGCAACGATTCCAGTTCCTTAATATCATATACTGGTGGACGTTGATCCTGTATGCCATGCGCAAAAGCACAGTGATGCCCATTTTTAACACAATAACCACGACTATCGGTGTCATGTACACACATACAGGTTTTATAGTAACGCAAATGGTATCGTCTTTCAGTATCACCCGCGGTGCGATGAAGAAATGGGCAGCTGAAATGACAATTTATATATTTAGAATTTAGTTGAATTTTATATAAACATAAATATTTATTATTATTTAATTATAAATATATATGAGCAATCAATTCCAGCCAATTCGTATATACACTGTAACATTACACCCCCTAGCGTACGCCTATGCGTATATTTATTTACGTTTCGAAGAGGTATCAAGTTTGTTTCTGCGGAAAATAAGGGAATGTCTACAATAAACATAAAGCGAAAGTGTGAGACAAAGACAAAAAGTGTGTGATGATACAAAAAGCAATGGAATTGGAGTAAAACATAAACGAATTCGCATCAAAAACACAAAATAGAGCTAAACACACAACAAAAATAAAACAAAAACAAAGAAAGCAAACATAAAAGAAATGGCTGATAATGACGAGAGAACGAAAGCAAAAAGGCAAATGTTAGGGATCTGCATAAAGCCAAAAGGTGTAGGAAATAATGGAAACGCAATTTCTCTAACTGGCTGCAAATGGGTGGGGGTGAAGGATATTAGCGTATGTTGCACAGACTAAACATTGTTTTTTGATTACAGAGCCATGCCAACAAATTAATTGAAAGATACTTACTCGTCACCATCGGGACATATGCCTGTAGTTTCATCGTATTTGGTGCAATAATTATCTGCACTATAATTGAATGTACCATCTCGTTTACGGACAGGGCGACGGCGTCGTTGGTTTTGGAAATGCCAATTGAAGCATACAAATGGTCTATGTTGGTTACATTTGTGCTGCAGAAAAGACTGACACTGTTCGACGCGAAATTCTTTTAAGTACCTGGAAGACACCACAGAACACAGAACGTCAATTATATATGAAGCAAATTGTTTCAATATGTTGTTAAGCACTTATAATCACAATTTTTCAAATTATTTCATTTTATTTACGTGTAATGATTTGGTTTTTCTTGTTGTGTAGAAAGGAGCAATTTACTTGCTTCATTCGCCATTTTGTCACTTTTGAAATGCGCAAAGCGTAGAGAACAAAAATGAAGCGAAGCAGAAATCACCGCAAATATGGCAATTATATTAATGCTGCCACATTTTTCATATATCACGTATTTCTAATAAGATTTTAATTTTTGAGAGGCATGCATAGTAACTTAAATATACAAAAAATCTAATTTTATATTCTATAAAATGTGTTTACTCACGGTACTGTTATACTCTTATGTGTATTGTGATTGCACATTTTATTATTTACTGTATTGAACCACATATTATATTGTTATATTATAAATATTTTAACATTTCTTTATTTGTTGAACTACTGTAGCAAACGTTTGATAAGAACAGCTGTCAAAAATCGTGGCCGGAAGCCAACCGTACATGTTCTATAATTTTAAGGATAGGTGTTTAGCAATAATTTATTAATTAAAAAGTCATTATAGTTTATTAAGTCGTCTTTAAGTGTGCATAACAACATGGCAGATGTAATTCCAGATATTAGTAAGCTTCCAAAGTGTGTAAAAGATATCTCCATATCCGATGAGTATATAAAATATTTGCCTGTAAGTTTTTGTTGATATGTAAACAATACTAGAATTGATTATAAATAGTTCTAAATTTTAGTCAATTGCAACAAAAGCGAAAACCAAAGATGAGGCAGAATGCTTACTTCAGCACATTGTGGCTGTAATAGAGTTCGAAATTTTGATAAAATCGCAAAAAGATGCATCGAATATAGTCAATCAGGTTGTTTTGAATACAGCTTATCGTGCATATTTCCAATTGCTGCAGCAACATAAACTGCCAGAGACCCATTTGAACGCTTTACCTAAGCCAAAATTGTTGTATGACGATGAATGTGGCTTCCAGTTATTATACGCCGTTCTATTAACTGATCAGCATGCACGGACTTTCGATCCTGAGACACTAATTATTGAATGTACTAAAGCATTAAGTGACGCTATTAACGAATACTGCGGTAGCCTGCTATACATACTTAAAGTCTTGAATTTATTATTGATTAAATTTCCAAAGTTCAACACAAATATACCGCTCCAGCAAATCTATTATTGCTTACAATGCAACCAATATGGCATGCGCGAAGAGTCGCTGAACCTTTTTTCAAATTGTTGTCGGCAAATTGAATACGCTTTTGAAAATTTTCAAGTTATTTTAGAGTTTTGGCCATGGTCAAATCGATTTAAATTCTATTTAATTAGTTGCATATTGAAAACGTACAATTTAATTGAATATCTGCGGAGTGCACAGCATTCAGTGAGTGAATTTTTCTCTGGTGTACGTCTAAGTCTGAGTCATAAGAGCCTTTTAGCCGCTAGTCAATATTTAGTAAAAGCATTAAGTGCACAAAACTCCGATGAGCTACTACAGCTAAGTACTGATATACTCACAAGGGGTACAGTTAAAGAAATCAAAAATTTTTACGCACAATGGTATGGGCGTATAGAGCAAAAAGATAGATTGTTCGATTTTTTGCAAAATCAACCGGAAATAGTAAACTTCCTCGAAAACACAATCGATGGTTCAATCGAACAGGATTATTTTCGTTCAACCTTAATCTTTAGCATGTTTTCACGACAAATATTCGAAGCATCAAAGCTACACTTTTTTAAAATCAGTACTGAACTTATAACAAACTGCTTCCAATTCGAATTGGAAACACAAATGTTGGTTTTCAAGTTCGTTGTTGACAATTTGGCTAGTTTTGCCATTGAGGATTGTCTGGAATTCACAGCTGCATTTATAAAGGAGCATAAATGCATTGAAAATGCTCAGTATCGTAATGAAATTTTGGGTAAAATACCAGCAATCGTTAACTATGTGGCGAAAACGTTTAGCAAATTGCATGATGCTGGAGGCATAACCACGCTTGAGACCAGCATACAGACATTTTTCAAGCATATGCACCTTTTAATTGATGCCGACATTGGTAGTGACATTTATCAACCGAAAATATTTTCGTTGCGCCTCTTAGAGATTTTGCTAAAATCATTATACGCTGACAATTTGGAGAAGAATGCCAAAAATTGTTGCTTAACGCAAAATAAAAAACTTGGAAACTTTTTGGTTGAACAACAAGTATTCGAATCTGCTAGCGTAGGAGCAGCACTCTTCAAACTACTTGACGATCCATTGGGTTTTGATGATGCATTAGAATTGATAATGCGCTTACTGCAACAAATCAAATTTGCCGAAGTGGACGAAAGTGTGCGCTTATGCAAGGAATTTAGCCGCCGCTGCGATGTGGACGAATGTGTTTTAAGCACACTTTATGCAAGAGTGACATTAAATTGCTGCAAAAGCACAGGCGATGAAGAAGGGATATCGATTTTACTTCAATTCGCTATAATTTCTTTGAAAGAAGAACTGGAAGATTTTCAAAAAGATCCAGTGTTGGTGTGTAAGACACGAAATCACTTATTTGGCTTTATCAATATAGTTGGAGAAGTTGTGCAAGGCAATATTTGCCTAAAAACGGAAACGCAAAACGAAATACTAGACCTTTTGGAAAAAGTGCTGAATTTAGTTTTGGATTTATTGAATGTATGCAAAGCTGATCCCATGCAAGCTGCTAGTAATGCAGCGAGCTTCCAAGATATGGACGAGAGTTTGGAAATATTGGTACAGAAAAGCGCAAACAAAGTGGAAGATCATGGAGAAGTTCGAAAATTTTTACTTATGTCATTCTGGCTAACATTGAAGGTGAAGTAGACACTAATCACTTGCGTTACATACTTTTAATAAATCTTTTATATTACAGGCGGCCTGCGATTTGGCAACGGAAATCGGTATGCGGTATGTAGTAACAACTGGATATGACTCCAGTGATTGTCAGAATATGATATTAAAACGTTGTTTGGATATAAATGTAACGGTGCTAACGCGTTGTAGGCACAAAGGTGCCATCGAAGCAGCTGGCGTAAGTATAGGTTGGTATCTACTTATTACTTAAGGGAAACAATGCTTTACGTTAAATTTTTTTTTTAATTTCCCAGGCAAACTAACTAAAAGTGTTACTTCGCATTGCAGTACAACTTCGGCGGTGTACCACTTATTAGACAACTGCTTGGAACTCTTATTCGACAATACAAAGCAGGTCAGCATTACACGTCGCGGTGCCGGTTACTCCATCATGATGCTGCATATCGTGAAGAATGAACAGCAACGCACAAGACCATTACTTAAGAATGTAATGAATAGAACTATAGCATTACTTAAGAATTACCGCGCAACCGACGGTTCGAATGTTGGAAATTTCGATCGTTTGGAGGCTTTACTATTGCACTACCTGGGCGTTTTAGTGCGTGATACCGAGTTGCGCGAAGCCACATCACATTATTATAATGAAATACTATTAGTAACATTAAAGCGCATCGAGCATCCCGAATGGACGGAATTCAATGCAGCATTGCAGCTTTTTGGTGCATTAGTACCGAAAATTGTTGGGCAAACGCTGGCCAAGGATTTCGATGCGGCAGCTGGTAATGAAAACAACGATATTACTTATGATGAAATCATACGAAAACTGCCAACGGCTTGCGATTATATACTCAACTATTTTGCCAGCAAACAAGACTTGAATACCGACACACGCACCACCGTTTTATTCCTGGGCTTCCTCTCAAAGGTTAAGCATTTACCCAAACAAATCGGCGTGCATGAATGCAGTTTTTTGCACCGAATACGCGAGCTAATGTGGCGTCTATTGGCGCATCGCTGTGAAAGCGTGCGTAAGATGGCTGCGCTTTGTTTTGTACGCGCGCACGACTTTAGACTCGAACTGCCTCAAGCGTTAATAAGCATTTCCAATATACTTGGTAATGTAAGCAATCAGAATTTGTTGCTGGGTTTCATTGCTACGCTTGCGGAAGGCATACTACGTATGCAACATGAAAGTATGTGCATTAACGATGGGGCTTACAAAGATTTTATGCAACAACTACGTTCATCTTTGGCCAACTTCAAACTCACACATAAATATGAGCCATACTCAATAAGCAAACTGCTAGATATTTTCCTCTTAGTTGGCTTTGATGCACAGGTGAGCATTGTGCAAGAATTGCTATGTGCACCAACTGCGGACGAAGCTGCTATTGGCTATGATGTGTGGCAGCAGTGTGCTGAAAAGTTTAAGAGCAAATCTTAAATCAAAATATACACAATTAATATCATATAATCAAAGAACTAAGTAGTAATGTGCTAAATAGTTAAGAGGCTTTAAATTTAGTTTGCTTTTAATGTATTGTACAAATTTAACAGTAATTAAGACTAAGTCGAAAATATTGATTAGACAACATGTCAGTTTAAGGCATCACTTTAATTGAGAATATTTTATATTACATAAACATTCGTATAAAAGTCATCGATTGCCCATTGGGAAAATAACCTGTTATTGCTTAAATTTTAAAAGAAACTCCCCAATTATAAAATTATTACTTTCTATACCCGCAACCATTTGAACGCTTAAGTTAAGTCTAAACGAAGAAATAACGATAATGTTTTTGAAAGATTTGCCAAAGCGTTTATAAATTCCATTACTTTGTTCTTATCATCATATGCTATGAAGTCACATTAAAATTATTGTAACGTACAATTCTCTAAATTAAAATATAAAAAAAAAAATTACGTGGCTTACTATTTGGCTTAAAAATGGCAATCTTTGTAAAAACAATTCCACTACTAATTTGATTCCCGGAGTAAAATATCACTAATACAAACAAAATAAGTTTCGATAATTATAAGCAACGTAACATATACATATGTAGCTAACTATCCGCGAAGTCCGAAGCACATACATAAGCTACAACTAAATCAACTGAAACCTTCGTTGTCCTGCTGCTTCTGTTTCTCCTGCACTTGCGTTTGCGACATCTGTTGCAGCGTGCGACTGAGAATGTTGCGTAAAATATGTGGCTTGCAGTATTCTTCTAACCACGGTATTACGCCGGTTGTCAGCTGCTTGAAGTTATCCATTGGTATATGCTGGAATGTTTCGAACATCTCATCCATTATTGCCTGGAACTACATATAAATAAAAAATTTTTATTATTATTAACATTTTTTAAGATTTATTAATAATATATGTATGTCTAAAAGCTAATATTTTATTGACTAGTACTTATTAATTATTTAACTTTTTGCAGATATTGATATTATAACATTAGTATTTATACATATAACATTATTTATTTCAAAATAGTTTAGTAAGTAGAATTTCCGAATGCTTGAGATACCGCACAATGATGTTTTGTTTATCTTAATTATTGTAGACATTGATTGCTATTTAAAACAAGATAATAAAAACATTGCTTATTGAAAATCGATGCTCTTATTCAAAATAATTACATTCATTATTAGATTGTGGCAATTTAGAAATATATAGAGAATTTCAAGATCTAAGCTATAATACCCATCACTAATACAAAAGATTTCATACAAGAACTTGATTTTAAACGGACAGTTTGTATGGCAGATATATGCTATAGTAGTCCGATATCAATTCCGACAGGTGAGCAGCTTTTTGAGGAGAAAGGGACATGTGCAAAATTTCAATCAATTCGGACAATATCTCAAAAACTGAGGGACTAGTTCGCGTATATATGTACAGGCAGACGGACATGTCTAAATCAGCTCAGCTCGACATGCTGATCATTTATATATATATATATTTTATAGCATCTCCGAAGTTTTTCGGGGTGTTACAAATTTAGTGACAAACTTAATATACTTCAAAGTTCAGGGTATAAGTATTCATAACGTAAAGAATCTACAATATATCAACGAAACGAAGCATCTATGTGTTATATAATCGTGTAAAAGTATATAATATACGTTTTGAAACACCTTGAAACCTTTTACACCATGAAAATAATATTTAATATTATAAACAAATTTCTTATACTGACCACTTGAAATTTTGCCTCGTCGGTTAGACGCGCTTCTTCAGGGCCAGGATTTGCTTGCTGATGCTGCAGCATATGCTCATAACTGTGCTGTATTATACGTAAAGCTGCTACTTCTTTTTGTAGTGCAGCACTTTCTTCCTCTTGCTTTTTCTTTTGCAAGTTTAAGTAACCAATATAGTCAATTGATTTTTGCAGTATGAGCGCCTTACTTAATTTATAACCAGATGCTGAATCATTTTGTTGGCATGTAGGCACTAGCTCTTGCAGGCTATCATAACCTTTTTTGATAGCATCCCGCCGTTTTTGTTCAGCTTGGGTGTGCGCTTCGCGACGCCTTTCTTTGTAGCTTAAGGTTGACGAAGAAGCCAGGGCCGAGCTACTACGTCCATCACCACTGTCATCGTCCTCATCTAATTAACCACAGATTTGTAACAAAGCCAATTACATTCCTATTTTCATAACACATACCTGTATTGTGAGCTGATGAATTTGGTGTATGTGTGCTATCATCTCGACTCTCTTGCGTATTTTGGTCCGCATCGTGGTCCATTGTCATGGAGTAGTCGTCTTTTAAGCGCGTATTATTACCTGTTGGTATTTCGTGTATTACGCTAAATATATACAAGTCATATAAATTTACCAAGTTCGGTTTGTGCGGAGCTACGATTTTCCGCCATCATTAAATGTACTTTTAATTTCGCGTTATATGAAACCAGCGCTGCTACGAAATCATCAGCTATCAAATTATCAGAACATATGTAAATTCACGTAAGAGAGTATACGAAACGAAAACAAGCTATCAAAAAGTGGAATAGAAAATGCGAAAGACCTGTTCGACTTCATGCCCAGAGAGTTGTCGGACTTTCAATTAGATATCTGTCCTAAACTGCCAACATACTACTTATGACAAAATATTTCTTGTTCTGGAAATTGAAGTCAATGATTCTTTATACCAGTTACGATCAGAACTTTTTTATTGAGTTAAAATACTGCTCAATGATTTTATTATGAAATATTAGAAAAGCTGATTATTTCCCCTCAATTTAATTCACTTATTTGTTGCACAGTGTAAACTTTATAAAGGTATACCACTAACTTGGACGATAAGGTAACATTGCACTTGAAATTGTCTTCGTGTCGCTGGCCGAATAATTTTGCAGAGTAGGTTACTTCAAAGTGATTTTGTATTTTGTTAATATAGTTACTAGTCGTTCAACTGAAAGAGTAATTTAATAATTTTTAGTTAAAAATACTTCTTAATACTTGAATATAACACAAGGATAATTAAAATGGGTCTGTTACACGCCATTGGTATTAGGGTAATGAATTTTATGGTGTTTTTCCTAATTGTTATATTATTGCCGGGTCTGCCACCGCGTACCACTTTTCCATTCAAAGAATTTCAGTAAGTCCAAAGTACTATCCTTTGTTGGAGAAACAAAACAAATTTATCGTAATACTTCACAGTGTGACACCCGCTAAAGATTTGAAAGGAGCCTTAGAGCCTAATCAGCACCTAGATGGTGCCGAACGCCTCCTTGAAGGGCGTGTCTATGGCCCAGAATGTCTTATTGCTCGTAAAAATGAGGTATACACCGGCATTCATGGTGGGGAGATAATAAAACTAACTGCCGATCATGTTACACACGTAGCAAAAATTGGACAACCTTGTGGTATGCTACTTTCGATTTGAAAAAAATGCCATAACATTTTACGAAAATTTATTTTGTTAATTTTTCTAGAAGATATATTTGAAGAGGCTCGTTGCGGAAGACCTTTGGGCCTTGCCTTTGATACGCAAGGTAATAATTTGATTGTGGCAGACGCATACTACGGCATCTGGCAGATAGATCTTAATACGAATCAAAAGAAATTGCTGGTATCGCCACATCAAGAACAACCTGGTAAAGATATTCAACGCAAAGCTAAACTTTTCAACACGGTTGCCGTAGATCAGAAAGGTGATATATATTGGACAGATTCTGCCTCAGATTTTGTGTTGCTCGATTTGGTATTCGGAGGTCTGGCAAATCCCTCTGGCCGGTAAGTAAACTTTCAACTGTATATGACCTAATACAAAAGAAAGTTTCTAAAATAATTTAAGCATAAATTAAAAACAATATTGTGTGTGTTATGCCAAACTGGTTTTTTAAATACATGTGTGTGTGTGTTTAGCTATTAGTAGTGTTGTCTCACATTGGACTGTTGCCAGCTAGCACGCACGTTTCAACTGTTTCTTAAATAACAATCTCATCACGCTTTTTGACTACGTCATAGATTTAAAAAAAAACTTGCTAAGTATATAATTTTTGTGAGTATACTTGAAAATAATGTCTATGCAGCAATATCACAGAATTCACGATACATCAGCAAAAAAAAGTTTATTTTGTTTTTCTAAAATTTTTGATATAGACTATAGAATGTTTGTGTTCAAACAGCCTTCAACCCGGTTTTTTATTATTGAGGCAGCAACATATTATTCATTTAACGTGAGATTTTTTTTTACCAGTGTACAATGTGGTTTTATTGTTAAATGTTTTAATCTAAATTTTATTCAGAAAATCGATAGTTTCTGTAAAATTAAAACGGTTTTATTTTTAAAATTATTTTTTATATGTATCATCCTTATTTTTGTTATAATTGAAAAAAAAAACTCTCGCACTGTAAACCTTGCAACACGATCTATTTTTCTCCCTTTTTTTTTGAAATAAGATCAGTGGATTATAAACAAAGCTATAATATGACTGACAAAAAATTAATTTTTATATGACGAGCTTGTGTCTACATGTGCGTCTATATGTATGTGGTTCGAGGTGTGTTAAAAAAATAACGGAAATTTTAAAAATAAAATTTCGCGGGTTTGGAGAGTCCAATTGTCACAAAGTTTTTTTTATATGTTAATACATAGTATATAGTTGCTTTTATTTGCGTACTTATATCCTGAGTAGCGTATATTAAGTTTGCTACGAAGTTTGTAACACCCAGAAAGAAACTTCGGACACCCTTTAATATATATATGTATCTTTATATTATAAATGGTCAGCCATGTGCGCCTGTTCGTCTGCCCAAGTAGCTGCTCATTAATCGGAATCGCCGATATCGGACCACTAAAGCATGTAACTTTTAACGTTTTTCTGGTACTAAATCAAACATTATTCGGAATTAAATAATTTTTGGGAAATTTATATTAACGGTATGCTTTTTCGCAGAGGACTTTTATTTTGCCTTGAAAAACATTAGGCTAACTTTAAGTTTTATTATTATGAAATTCGAGAAACTTAACCGGTACAGAATTTTGTAAAGGGGTCTATGAGAATAAAGACAATTAAACATTTCCTTCCTCAAAATAAAAAATATTGTCAAAACTTTTTAAAAAATTTGATTTTTGTAAAGAAGTAACATTCTAATAAAAATAAAATGCATTAAATTTCTTGAGAACATAAAATTTAACTGACACCTTAAACTTGCATTTCCACAGGCTCTTCAAATATGATCGCGCTAACAATGTTAGCAAAGTATTACTGGACGAATTATTCTTTGCTAATGGTTTGGCCTTGAGTCCCGATGAAGACTTCATTGTTGTCGCCGAAACCGGAGCGATGCGTTTGACTTTATACCATTTAAAGGGCGCCAAAGCTGGTCAGAGTGAAGTCTTCGTAGAGGGTTTGCCTGGTTTGCCCGACAATTTGACACCCGATGCCGAGGGCATATGGGTGCCGCTCATAATGGCCGCAGATAATGAACATCCAAACGGTTACAATATGTTCGCCAACTTCCCCAGCATACGTTTATTCTTGGCACGTCTGCTTAGTCTCTTCGAGTTGCCCTTCCGTCTAATCAACAACGCCTTCCCAAATAAGCTGGCCCAAAAGTTTATTCACTTCATTGGACATGGTGAAAGTATGCTGCTTTTGTCACCCAAGCGTTCAACCATTGTGAGAATAGACTGGAACGGTAATATTGTGGGCTCGTTACATGGTACCGATAAGTCGGCAGGCGCTATTTCGCATGTATTGGAATTCAACGATTACTTGTATTTGGGTTCGCCGTTCAATCGGTTTTTGGCGCGTGTGAAATCACCGAGAGCCGGTCGCCAACCGGAGGTGAAAGTACGGAATGTCAGGTATGAGGGCGCTGGTTTAGAAGCGTCTGTTAAGCCATCAACTGCATCTACTACCACTACTAGCAAGCCAAAGCCTGCCGCTACTAAACCACTAACTACGACAGCGCCACCGACAAAAACCACGACGACAACAACTACAACTACACCGCGACCAACTACAACTACACCTAAACCGACCACGACAACTACAAAAAGACCAACAACTACTACAACAACTAGAAAACCAACAACAACTACGACAGCGCGACCATCAACAACGACGACGACCACAAAACCCAAAGCTACCACTACCACCACCACCACAACTACAACACCAAAACCAACTACAGCTACACCAAAAGCATCAAGCGCCACACCGAAAATAAAATCAAGCACCACAACAGCACGTCCCGCGGCCGAGCAGAAACGTGTGCCTCCAAAGGACCCAGCACCGATTAAGGAGGAAATACCAAACGATACGAAACCACCCAAATTCGACAAGCTTAAAGTGATCACCAAAACCGGCGAACACCTCGAATTTTAAAGCAGCTAACTAACAAATTAACTGTAAACATACATATATCGCATTATTACTTTCCTTTGTCATCTGAGGTGTCGTTCGAACCTAACCTAATACATCAACATATACAGGCATGTAACAAGAGCGCATGCAACGTTACGAAGTTTATGTTAGAATGCGACATAGCAATAATCTAGTGAATACCTATGATATATTAGAACGATTTAGCGGAAATAGGGTGTGTACTGTTACCACAGTACAGTATGAGATATTGCGGGAAATTTTATACAGTTACAACAAACAAACGAAATTAGTGCTTCAACGAATACATTCCAATAAACATTCCAACTTGTGCTGCTAAAGCATTTTTCGCATTTATTTATAACATTCTATTCACTTAATGCTTACATTCCGCGGAGTTACGGTTTATAGGGAAAGGAGGTTATGTGCACATTTTTAATTTATAACTCGTACTAAATTCGTTTGAACGTTGTAAAAATGCCTGAAATGAAGAAAATTCCTTGGTTAGCTTAAATAGCTCTAAATTCGAGCTTAAGCAGTTAGCTGTAAGTATAACAGTAGTGCGGATCTCTATAAACAAATGTATTAACGAATTACTGCTCGAACATAAATTTGTGAATATCCGCTAAGATTTACTATTTTTTACTCTACGTTGAGTATACTAGTTTGGTTTTTGCACAAAGTTCATAAAAAACGAATTTTAAAAAATTATTTATAAAAACTTTTTTTGGTCATGGTAAATAATCTATTTAAAGTAATTAATAAATAACGGTAGTAATTTTATGTATACCCTTCCTAACTTTTGACTGTTATACATACATAATAAAATAAATGTCCTGTACTGATTTTGAAGTATTTTGTAATTTATTTAATAAGCGCTTGATTTACTTTTTTCATTTCAGTTTTACATTCATGAATAATTATTTCAAATTAAATAAAGCTTAAAGTGTTTCTCGACAAATTATCCGAGCTGGCAGTTTTCACTCTATCTTCTTATTTATTTATTTAATTTTTTTTTTAACAATACAAACTTAAACAGCCACAAATTTCTTAAAGCAAATTTTCAGTCGTAGGCTATAAATAATTGCGTACATATGTACAAGTTATAAATATACATGATTTTTTTTTTTGTTAACAATTATTAAGTTTTGTTGCTAAATTAATATCTTATCAACAAATTTGTGGCACACCTAACTACGTACTGTATGTACACATAATTAAACTATCGCACTTCATTAAACATAAGTACTACACATTAAGGAAGTTAGCATATACATACACATATGTATATATATACATATCTATATGATTTACGTTCAAGCATGTCTGCTTGTGCGCGTTAAAATCACGTTTCTATTATCGTTTTGGTTATTTGCTTTGCAAATCACACTCATTCCATTGAAGCTTCACGTGCTTTTCTCGCTTCTCGGACGGCTTGGCGGTTCAGCGGGGTCGGTCCAATGCCAATCAGTATACATGACACATTTATTTTGCGAGTCCATATATAGATGCGATTGTGGACAGCGTTGTAGTTTAGCGGGACGCCCTTGTGCCTCACATGTCCAATATTTTGTAGGGTCCCAGAAGTGACGGAACATGGCGTTAACCTCGTGCAATGTGTCGCAGCCGGGTTCGCCATCATAATCGGTAGCATTTTCATGTGTTGATTTTTTCATTGTTGCCATTGTGTACTATTCCAGCACGAAAGCTGTGCGATCAGGTGAGTAATTAGTGGGTGTACTTGTCTACAGCTAATATTTGCTAAACGCTTGTGTCTTTTTTTGCTTTTGGTTTCAGGTTATCCAATTGCTGTTGAGCGCGCTGCAATATGGGACTTGGTGTTGCTGTAATGAAATTGTTGAAAATAGTTTAATTATAGTGTTATTTACATTATATGGACAGTTTTTGTTGTTATTGTTTTAGTCGTAAGTGAAAAAAAAAATTGTTTTAGAGGAGACAAATTGTTAATAAAAGCCATGTGTTTGTTAAATTATGCCTTTTTGTTGTTTTTTAACTACATGTATGTTTATTTGTACAAATGTAGTCATTGTTGTAGTTGCAATTACGCAAAACCAGCTTAGCGTTATGAAATTCGCGGTTGCCGTCGAGGTTATCTCACGTTAAGATCTAGAAAGCTGCTACTTCTACAGCAATTAAACAACTGTGTCATGTTTTATGCTTTAACCACAACAACAACAAAATTATATTTGATAAACGTTTAACGTTGCTATGTAACAAAGTATGGAACCTGTTATCTCTTGTTTTTATCGAAATTGTTACTTTGTAGCTTTCTCCTCTTTTTTTAGTAGATTTTTTATGGCTACAACAACCATTACGTGTGGTATATGTTTGTTGTTTTTCTTAATTCTTTACTTCCAGTATTGGGATTTTTAAATGCTTATATCATTTCCTTTTTTATAGTATGGTTTTTTTTACTATTATGTTATATAATTGATATTTTATATCAATTTCTGCGCCACTATTTAATTCTAATTATTTTATTTAATTGCAAATCATTACATATTTCTATTTTATTTAATATTATTTTTGACACAACACTTATTTCTTTAGTTTAATTATTTATTGTTTAACTTTTTATTTTTTAGTTTTATATTTTTTTAATTCTTCTTCCGTTTTTCATTTGTTAACTTTTTATTAATTTTTTATTTTTTCTACTCTTAATTTTTCTACTTTTTTTTTAATAATTAACAATTATTCTTTTTATTAGTTTCTTTATTTTACATATTTTTATTTACTTAAAAAAAAATATTTTATTTACTTGTATTTATTTTTTAAAGCTTAAGTTTGAATTGTTATTGTTTTTTCTCTTATTATACTAAGGAATAATTATTGTTTCTATTATTCTCTTATTATACTAAGGAATAATTATTGTTTCTATTATTTTAATTGTGGCATCGAATATTTGCATAGTATAAATCAATATGTTTTGCTTTGTACTATTTACAAGGTACAATTCAAAAGTTCCAGGACTTTTTAAACAAAGCGGCTTTTAGTGGCGCCATCTGTCTGAAATTGTTATCCCTCAATTGTGTATTCTTCAGTGTTGTCGTATAAAATTTATATAACAGCTGGCTTATATAACAGCTGAGATATCGCGCTACATGTGACATTACATTTGTAGTGTCGGTCGGAAAATGAGCATACAACAAAGAGCCAACATTAAGTTTTGTTTTAAACTTGGTAAAACTTTTACCAAAACTCATCAAATGATAAAACAAGTTTATGGCGATGATATTCTATCCCGTAGCCGTATTCACGAGTGGTTTAAACGTTTTCAAGAGGGACGGGAGGACTTGGAAGACGACGAACGTTCGGGCCGGCCAAAAGATGTTGTGAACGAAAAAAACACGGAAATTGTGCGTAAATTCATTAAATAAGAGCCCAAATCATCGCTTAAAAATATGGAATCGGAATTATCAATATCCGCAGCGTCGATTTATCGTATTTTGACAGAAAATTTGGGCCTCAGAAAGGTTTGTGCTCGATTTGTCCCGCACACTTTGAAACAACACGCAAAAGACCTCAGAATCAGACAGATTTTTTGACCAAAAATCGCATTCATATCATCGACCATTCACCCCATTTTTATTTGTTTGGAAAACTACATTTGGCCATGAAAGGAAACCGCTGTGCTGACATTGATGCCATCCTCCACGCTATACCGACAAATGTCCTAAAAAGTCATTCGATAACCTTCTTGAACGTGCAAAACGTTGTATTCAGGCGGAAGGAGACTATTTTGAAGGCGACCAATAAATTTTTCAAAAAAAAAAACAAATAATATTCGTTTTTTAATAGAAGTCATGAAACTTTTGAATTGCACCTTGTGGTTTATTTTTTTATTTCATTTGAGTTTCCTCAATAATTTTTGGTTATTTTTATTTTTTTGTGAATTTAATTTTAATTTTTTATATTTATTTGTGAATATTGTGTATTATTTTGGAAATAATAATAGTTTTCTTCATACTGTTAATCGTTTTTTTTCGTCACTTTTTGCTTTATTTATTTTATATTTTGTTTATACATTTATTTAATTAAATTAATTTTGTTGTTTATATAATTATTTTTTCAAACTTTCAAACTTTTATTTACTCATGCTTTGATTCATTGCTCCTTTTCATATTTATTTATTTTTGTGATTATATTATGCTTTACTTTTTTTGGTTATTAATAATACTATACCTTATTTAATTTTTTTCAACTGCATTTTTCATTAAATTATATTTTTTCATTCATTGCCGTTTTTGAATAAATGTCGAATTTGAAATTTGATTTATTGCTTTTATTTGCTATTTGCACATCTATTTATTTTATAATCAAATTTTTTTAATTTTTAATTTTGTTGTATTTTATTCCATGTGTTAATAGTAATCTATTTTTTTTCTTTTATTTTTCAAAATTATGTTTACAACTTTCTCACTTTTATTTTATGTATACATTTCTTTATTTAGTTTGTTTTTAAAAATATTTTTTCAATATATTTTTTTTTTTTATAAAATTTTTATCTCCATCTTGAATTTTTTTCTGCCTTCATGCATGCATTATATTTTAAATTATTTTCTTCACCATACATTCTATAATTCTTACCTCGAGTCGTCGACTTTCCACACTTGTCCGAACGACTTGCTCTCCTGGGCCACACGTTATTTTGCTGAAATCTTTTTAGCTACTAAAATGTGCTGTTCCAAGCGTTGTCGTTGCTACCGAAGAAAATACGAAATTTTTTGCTAAATTTTGATTTTACTTCTTTATATAATTTCCTTTTTGATTTTATTATCTTTGTGTATCTTTTGTTTAACTGCAATTATTGCAGAAATCGCTCCGTCTAGTAATTTTATTGTTCTTTATTTTTGTACAACAACAGCTCGATATTCATATACATATGTTCATTAATTATATCATACTATATTCAAGTTGTATATGATTTCCGAAATACGACGAAGACGAGTGCACTGCGCGAGCGTTCACGGCGCTGAAAGTGGTTGCGCTGTATATTACTAATGTGCAGATTTGTCGCGATGTTTTTATATTTAACCCTGAGCATGCTACCGCGTTTTTGTTCTTGCTCTCATCTATACATACATATAACTTTTGGCGCACATGTGCGAACTAATCTCGCCAAAGTGATTCAAAAATCATTTGGAATTTGTTCCGAAGAAATCAATCGTGCTTTGGATTTGCATATTTATGCATGCTTACTCGAAAGTGTTGAAAGCGTACTCATATCTGTCGTCAGCGTGTTTATGGAAATTTTGACAGAGTCATAAGCGTCGGGCCCGCAAGAAAGTTTCGTTTTTTTTCTCTCTCTCATATAGCAACTGTATATTTTTTTTAAGTTTATATACATATGTGTGTAAGTAAGTAAGTGTGTAATGTTATGACATACCGGTCTTTTCCGCCCATAACTGTATGTCATATAATAAGTGTATTGATGCTACTCATACACATACACATATGTGTATTTAATTGGCTTTAGATAAACAAATAGTTTATCTGTCGTTTTATATAAATAACTGTACCCAGTGTTTATATGCTGTTTTATCATTTTCCATGAAATGTGCATACGTATACTCCACCCACTTCACCTTTAAAAATTTACTCAATTTCTTTGTGGTTTAAAAAGGGGCACGCATCCAATGCGTGCGTTCATGTGAACTTCGTTTGCCTTGATAATGAAAAATTCTATATTTACGCTTACATAATACGTAGCCGAGACACTAACACTTAAAAGTTAAAATTACAAGTAATAAAGCGACGCATATGACCCCAAGAGGTTAGGGCTCAGTTTCTGTTTGATTTGATACGTCATTTGTTTTAAAGATTCTACATAGAATTTATAAAATTTTTGGAAAGTTTTTCGGTTGTCATAAGTCTAGCATGGATCAGCTGACTATTTACCTTAATCACAAGAGAATTCATTCACGCTTCGAGCACACAGCTTTCAGTCGAAATGCTCGCTGGTCTAGCGCTTACGCACATTGCTACAAAGGCGGCGATACTGTGGTTTACACTGTCTTAAAAAAGTGTGCATATGCAGAAGTATGAATAAGCACGTGAGGAATGTTTTGAAATGGATATTAAAAAGCTATACACGAATTTATAAGTGCTTTTTACATAGTGAAAAATAGCAGAAAAGAAATCTTAAACAGCAGCTTTCCTCAACACAAATGATCTCGCCACTACCACAACAATAATAACAATAAAAATCTCCACCGAGACTACTTACCTTAAAAATAAAACCGAGTGGTTTGATTTTCGATGATTTGGCTAAGTAAAATTGACTGCAATTTATCGAGAACATGAATTTAAAGAACATACAGGAGATGAAAATACTTTGTCGGGACTCACCATACTTTTATAAGAGATCATAAAACCTTCAAGTTTTAACATTAACTTTAATCTCAATTGCAGTCGAGTATGAATATCGCGGCAACTTCGTTTAAAATGACATCCTCATTTTTTGTTTATCCAAAATTTCCTCTCGAAGCTTAAGTTGGAATTTTCTTCAAAATTTGGATGATCTTTTGAAAGCAAATTTTTTTTCGAAGAATTTAATATCCCGAAGAGCGACTGAAACTCGACAAGTTGTCATTCACATCTCCCAGAATCATTTTGAAAAAAAAAGATTAGCATGAATTGAACTACATTTAAGGGTACGAATATATATTGTGCACACTGTTTATATGCAGCAGACCGACTGAAACCCGGCAAGTTCTGATGCAAATATCTCAGTTTCATTTTGAAAAAAGAAAATCGCCATGAATTGAACTAAATTAAGTATACGCATACTTTTCGCGCTCACTGTCTATATGCATATTTAACAATCATAGCCGGTATTTGTATGTATTTTTTTTAGTGTCGATAGTACATAGTTTTGTTGCTATTTTGCAAATGTGATTTCACAAGTAATTCAAAAATATTGTATATTCTTTTGGCGACTAGCCAGGGAAGTGCGATGACTTAGCGCGCCTGAATTTGCCTATTTCCCGTCAAAAGATGTGACAAGCGAGTCTACATACTTATATACTAAGCTGAATGTACATGACAAACGTATATGTACTGTAAATAGCTGTTTTCAACTACTTATTGATGAATATTTTTAAATATGTGCGTACTGTAATTTGTGGAGGCGAAGCTGAATGGGTTAATGAGTGATCAGGCGACCGTTGGATGTTAGTTTAGAGCTGGCAGTGAAAAAATTTTTGAAAACGGTTTTTTTTAAATAAAACCTACTCAGCTCACACCAAGTCACATTTTCATTTTGTAATATATTGGATACGAAAAGTTTTCGTCTATCGAAAAGGCAACTTCAAATAATTCTATCCATAGAAACTGTTTTCTAAATTGGTCGAGCCGAATTCGATCAGTTCCTTCAAATGATAATTTTTATATAAATATAATTATATACATATTATAAAAATCCGTTGCTCCGATGTTGTTTCACTAAATCTTGCACTGAGTTTCCATATATTTACAATAAGGTAGAACTTATATACGAGTATATGCGCTAGAACTTGGGTAATACTTCTTGATCAGATCAAAAATACATATTATACATACATACATACCTACATACATATACACTTGGGTATACGTATCATATATCGTTATTGTTGTATAAATAACATAACACACATAAAGCAACAAATTCTTGTTCGCGTCTACAAACATAAATTTCGAAATATTCCCCATTTTTATTCGCCTAGGAATTAGGTCTTATTTTATTTATGTATTTTTTCTGTCATTGTTCTATAATAAAGAGGATTTTTTTTATTAAAATTCCGATCTTAAAATTCAAGCACACGTTTCGTGTTGTCTAGACAGTAGGACGCTTTTATGGTTCATTGTCTAATCGAATAAAAATTAAAGAATAAATATAAAATACTGGATATGTACTATGAAAACTATTTCTCTTCTATGAAGCCATTCAAAATTGGAACTCTTTCTTCTTGCAATAATGACATTGGCACACTCTAAATGTTTGGTAAAGCTATTGTTCCGAAAGGTCGCGTGATTATCATTACAAACTCGTGTCAAATATATATTATACTTTCCGGTGGAATACTAAAAATATTTTCTACGCTTTTTAATTATAGCACAAGTAGGCAAAAATTAATGGCTCTTCAAGTTTCAAGTATCTAAAGTCGCCGCCTAAAATCCTCCACTTGAGTTATATTTAAGTTCATTCTTATGGCTTCAACTGTCATTGTCGCGATAATGCTTGTGCGATTCGTAATCTTATCGCTTTCTAAATCTTTCGCAAAATGCTTCATTCAAGTCACGCCTCTAAATCATGTACCGCGGTGAATATAATACTGAATTTCCAATTGGGTCTGTTGTGGTTAGTACGAGATAGTGTGAGACACAATTTTCTTGGACAGCGGGTTTGAAAGTTATCCCTATAAGAAATCCTTTGCCTTCAGCATTTGTGATCTCTTGGATACTGCTCATTTTCTTTATTTCACTTCCAAAGAATATATTCGAGTTATGCTTCTCAAAAATTGTATTTTGGTGTAATTTGAATAAAACACAGTGCTGATAAATGTTGAGCATAGTTGAATATATCTAAAAAGCCTCTACTAATAAGTGAAACGATTTCAACTTTATGGTTGAAGTAATAGGGCGACTCCGCCTAGTATCCATTTAGCTGGTCGTTCGCGAGTCTTTAAATTAAATGTCCAAACGTAGGTGTTGCCACGTAATCTGTAATTAATTAAACATAAATAAAGTTTTCACAAAATACTTGTATTCAAATAAAAGCTGATTTTTGTTTTTCAAAATCTATCAAATTTTCACACCTAAACCATAGCAAAGTCACACACCCAATACACTTAATATCACAAATCGGCTATGTTTTTTACAAAATACTTCAACGTTTTAAATGTTAATCATCTTACTACAATCTAAATTAATTTCTTGGTATCGTCAGTATTCATAAATATTATATAATTTAATATACAAATACATATGTATATTTAGATGTGTGCATATATGCTAAATTGTGTTTTACCTTGTCTTGTATAGCGGGCACTCATAACAACGCTGCAATTCTTGTTTCTCCTGCACAATAGATTTTATATAAATGACCGGCATGGCACAGAGCAGCTCTTTCGGCGGCAATGGCACAATAGAGTTAAGCTGGCAATCCCAACTGGCGCCATCCAGGTAGAGAGCATGCACGAGTGCACCTTCAACTGGGGGTAATCTGTGCGCAAGATGATGAAAATGCGTATAAAAGAGGCAAACATGTTGGCTCGTGAATGAAATGAGAGAACTGAATGCCTTTTTACAAATGTATATTATGTATATTACAAATAGAGAAGACCTCCATTATTTTTAAATTACATTTAATTTGATATCTTTGTCGCTTTCTCACTAATGTCTTTCACTACTTATATTTGGTAAGAAGCATAGGCAGATAAGGGATTTACTTTTGATCTTAACAAGCTCGCAGTTCTTTAAGTCCTTCACGACTCAATCAGAATAATATTATTAAAAGCAGAACCTTCTAAACACTATTTAAATAATAAAAAGAAATATGATAGAAGAAGTATGCTAGTAAAATTTTAGACATTTCTTCAATAGCATAAATTGAACAATTTATCACTATTTCTTCTTTCTTTTAAATTAATTCTCTTATTAAAACAATACTTACGATATGTCGTCCTTCTCTTTCTTTGTCACCTCACAACTTAGGCACATACGGTCCAAAGGCAAATCATGCTTCCGGGCACTCTCTTGCATTATGGCTGTGAGAAAGCTTTGTGGATTGAACAAACCACCGAGCCAAATGGTGCAGGGTAGTTTAAAATCATTAAGCCAACCCGACAATTCTTTTATGCGATGCAGAAGATCGGCATACCAACTCTGTAGGCCCAACATACTGGGATATGCTAATTGCGCCCAACCTGTCGGTACGGTATCGTAAAAAATAGCATGGTCCAGCCGTTCCATATCGGTCGTTATAGTAAGTTCGCCCTTCAAGCCCAACAGTAGCTCGCGTAACGATCGCTTTATTTCGAATATGAGCGCATTCATGCGTTCGCACTCTTGTAGTGCGACCACAACGAATGGTGTCTTGCGATCTAGGCGATTCAGCAAGGCTTGTAAATTGAATTCGTCTTGCATTTTATCGAGAAAGTCTTCACTCATGATCTTGACAAGTTCCTCTCGTGGGGCGCTACAATTCGTGCTAAGTTCCGATTCACGTGGCTGCA